TGGAGAGCCACTTTAAAGTGCCCCACCACTTCTGGAGCTTCGCCGGGGTGACCTCCAACGTGACCGCCTGGTTCATGAGGTGCCGGACGTCGCCGGCCGTCCAGGGGAGGTTCTGGAAGCCGATCTTGCGCATGCCCTCATAGGCCAAGCAGTGTGCCCGGATGGTACGGAACCGGGCATCACCAAAGAGGTGGCCAAACTCCTCCAGCTCCCTGGCCCCCATCACCTGGTGCATGTAGGGGATCTGGTGCCGGAAGGGGATGAAGTATCCCAGGAGGCGTTCCAACCACCTGGCCCTCAAGTGTTGTTCCAACGCTCTCTGAGATGTCGGCAATTGGGTTTTGATCTTCCCTGGTTTCCAATGCCGCCACTTGTTGGCCACTGCCAGGACATCCGGGGCCTCAATCGATCCGGAAAGGATCCACTCTTCGCGGTCCCGGATGGCCTGTTCCATTTCCAGTGGAGAATAGGTGTGCGATTGCCTGGCGCCTGCCGCACGAAACAGAAGTTGTTGCAGGGTCTTAGTAGCGAGCTCCAAATCCGCCTCCTCCAGCGGTTGTGGTTGGGAGCCGAGTATCCTCGCGAGGATCAAGTTGTAGGTGTCCGAGGCCACCAGGACGTGGTTGCCGTCAGGTGCCAGCCCCACGATCCGTGTCCACGGCCGCGGGTCAAAGACCACCGCATCCGGGTTGGCGACCTTGTCCTTTTTGACCCATTCCAGGCAGCACGCCACGAGGATTTCCCCGTCCGACTGCACTGGTGCAAATCCAAGGTCATGCAAAATCAACTGGAGCGCGGTTGGCGCCCCTAGGAAGGTCGTCCCAAACGGGGAAGGGAGGCGGGGCCTCCACATCATCATGATCCACTCGAGCCGGGGGCCTAGTCCCTAGGTGCAAACCCCAACCAAACAACAGGGGGCCCCCCAAAACCCCGGAAAGTCAACCCCGAAACGGAGGAAACGGGGGAAAAAGGGGGACCCAGGGAGCCGCCCCGAAAAGGGAAAACCAAACAAGAGAGGGGAACCAAGGCGCACCCCGGATCAGCCCAAGCCGCGCCAATTTTCCTCGCCTGGTGCAAGTCTGGGCCTGCGCTGTTCCCTGGGGGGGGATATCAGCGCCTTCGGCAGCTGTCCCCCCCCGGGGTGCGCTGCGCATCCGTTCCGGATGGCCGCGGTCCTGGATGGTGTGCCGGAAGATGGCGTTGTCCCGCATCATCACGCGGCCCCCTTCGCGATGTCATCGATGCGCTTGAGCGCAGCAGCCTCCGGATTCCGCAGAATCAGCTCCCAGATGGCATTGGAGACGTGGCCTGTCTGGGTGGTCTGGCTGAATCTGAACCTGGGCACCTTCTGGTCCACGATGGAGACGTCCCGCAACGGGGCCGAGGGCTCCACCCGGCGGTAGTACTCCAGCCGCTCCTTCACCCAGCGGTTGTAGAGGCCCTCCGGCGGCTCGTCCAACACCAGCTGCAAGATGGCCTTGCCGGCCCGGATCTGGAGGAGGCGGGTGCCCCCTCCCCCGGCACGCCAGTACCCCTTACAATACTTGCACATGTAGCCCCCCCGGGTCTCCCCTTTTGTCTTCGGGATGAGTTCCCACGGGGTGACGGAGCTCAGGACCAGGCCACACTCCATGTGCGCCCAGAAGACATGCTTCATCTCCACCGGATAGTTCTTCTTCCGGTAGTCCTTACCCACCACGCCGTGGACGTTGTCCGCCGTGATGGGGGGGTAAACGATCCCCTCATCGCCCTCGCCTCCCCTGGGGCGGATGTCAGGGCCATCGGCACCTGTCCGGCACCCAGGGGCGGAGGGGTCCAGGCCCATCAGCTTGATCATGTCGTTGGTGTAGCCGAGCTTGCGGTAGATGGAGGGGGCCACTGAGTCGGGGACTGCGCCGACCCACCACTGCTTCGTGTTGCAGCGCCAGTTGACCTTCACCTCCGCCAGGGCCCCCGGGCCTCCAATGCGGTCCATGAGGGCCTTGTACACCTCTGGGAACTGCTGGAGGCTCTCCACCGGGACCGAGATGCGCTCGTCGCATACCGCCCGCAGGATCATCTGCTCCTTGGAGTCCGCCACGTCCTGGACCGGGAGCTGCATCACCTCCGCCGGGGTGTCCGTGAGGAAGGCCCGGGCCGCGAGGACCTTGCCCATGGCCCGGTAGACCAATCGCCACTCCGGTCCTGTCTGCGGAAACGGAAGGCCCTCCTCCTTCAGGAAGCACCGCGCGTCCTCCTTCAGGGTCTCCCAGCCCTCCAGGCGGGTCTGATTCTGGGCCTTGTTTTTCGGGCCCCGCTGCCTAGGGCCCTGCAGCAGTGGCAGAGACTCCCAGACTCCCCAGAGCTGGCGCAGGGTGTAGCTGTGCCCGAACATCCCCAGTAGGCCTGGGAGTGTCCAGGACGAGATCTGGCGCGTCCAGTGGAAGTCCTCATCCGGATCGTGGGGGGCAGCCCAAAAGATGGATCGCAGGTCCCCAGGGTAGGGTCGGTCCCCCGCCTTCGCCTGCTGGTGCAACTCATCAACGGAGTACCTGGCCCAGGGGAGTCCACCCACCTGGTGGTTCCTGGGATGCGTACCCTTCTCCAACGCCTCCGGATTCACCTTGGTGAGGTTTTTCGCCCAATCCGGGACGTGTACCGGGCCCGGTCGGCCCGCAAAGATACGGACCTTTGTGACCCGTTTGCTCATCATCCAGCGCAGGACCGAGAGCTGCACCTCCGGGTCCTTGGTGTCCAGGCCCACCGGGGTGGCGGACGGCTTGTCAGGGCCCTCGGCACCTGAGCTCGTCACGCCAGAGCCCGAGGCTGGGGGGATGGTGGGCGGCCTGTCAGGGCCCTCGGCACCTGGGCGCGCCGCACCAGAGCCCCCCGCCTTTGGCATGGGGATCCCTGTCAGGTCCGGCAGATCTGACAGGAGGGCCGCCGGGAAGGGATTCCTACCCAGCGAGATGACCGCCTTGGCCTCAAGGTAGGAGTCCGTGAGGGATGTGAGGTCGTCCATACTGAAGTCCCTCCATGCCGTTGTCGGCTCGAAGACCCCAGTCTCAATGGCGACCCGGACCTCACTAGGCCACGCACTGAAGGGAGGCGCGATGGGCTCGAGCATTCTGGTTTCGAGGGAGCCCTTCGCCTGTCTGGCTTGGTGTTTCGCTTTCGCCTCCTCCGCAGTGGTCTGGGCCTGGAGGAGCTCCGGTGTGGGTCTCCCCCAGTCCGCACCCAGCTTGTCCAGCAGCTTCTCACGGAAGAGGTCCAAGTCCAGGTTCTTCAGGAGCAGGCCTCCATCACCTCCTCCGTCAATGGCCCCCCCTTGAAGTTCGTGGAGGACCGCCGCGGAGCGCTCCACCGCTTCCACCTGGTCCGCCTTCTTGGCCTCCTCCTGGGCGATGGTGGTGGCGTTGAGCCGGGTCTGAATCTTGAAGGCCTTCACCGCAGACGGGTGGAAGGCTCTGCATTCCTGGCCCTCTTCCTTGTCGCCTGGCAATGGGGGCCTCTCCCCCGGTGGGGCCGTCAGAAACTCCTCGTCCAGCTCCATGGGGCAGTTCCTGATCACCGCCCGGACCGAGGAGGGGACGAAGTCCGAGAAGCTGGCCTGGTCCGGGTTCTCGCAGGCCATCGGGTCGGTGGCCAGCTCGCTGACGTCCACCGAGGCACTGAGCTTGAGGTCGCGGGCCCGGTCCGTGTCAGGGCCTTCGGCACCCGCGGACCGGGCCGCCGTCCAGACCGCATTGCCCTGGTCATCCACCGTCAACTGCCAATGCGTGCCCGCCATCTCCAGGGTGGCCGAGTTGGTCGCCGTGTCAATGGGCTCCGTCTTCTTGCCGCACCCCATGCACTTCGTGGCGCCCTTCTTCACCCAGGGCATGGTGCAGCAGGGGCAGATCCAGGATGTGGGCACCTTGCCCAGGGGGCGGTTCTCCAGGCCCCCGTACCCCAAGCCAGCGCGCTTGCCAACCTGCTGTCCCGGGGTGCTGAGCCGGGCCTCATGCTCGTACTTCATCTTGGCGATGTAGAAGGCCTCCACAACGCGCTCCAGGCCCCCCTGCTTGAGTTGGGGGCCCTCAAAGCCTCGCAGGAGCCGCTGGACGTCCTTGGCCTGCAGTCGGCGGAGCCTAGTGGCCGTGGTCGCATCGAAGCAAGGGAAGTCGCCCGCCATCTGGTCGTCGCTGAACTGGTAGAGGCCCTCCGAGACCTTGAGGGCCTTGGTGAACACGCTCCCCCCCGGCGGGGGGGCTGCGGGGTTCTCATCCTCCTCCGAGGACGCCTGCTCCTTGACCTTCGCCATCAGCTCCCGGCGCCTCTGCCACTTGGCGTCTGCCCGGGCATCCAGGCGGGCCTCCTCCAAGCGGGCTGCAGCCGAGGGGGATCGGCAGCTCCTTCTCGTCCTTCGCCAGGCTCCTCCATGGGCACGTCCTCCTCCGGCGCGTTCAGGAGCTCCAGGAACGCCCCTGGGGGGCGTGTCAGGGCCTTCGGCACCTGCGCCACCCCAGGGGCTGCATCTTCCATCGGCTCATCCTCTGCCTTGCGCTTGGCCGGGATAAGGGGGGCCTGCTCCAGCTCATCTGCGCTGGAGAAGAAACGCTCGTCAGGTGCCTGAGGGACCTCAGCAGCCAAAACGGTCCATCCTTCTTCCTCCCTCTTCACGAGGCTCGCCAGGTACTTTGCCATGGAGGCCTTTGCCTTAGCCTTGGCCTCTGCTACCGCGGCACCAGCGTAGGCGGGGGCGTACATGGCTTTGAGAGTAGGGGAAAGAAAGATTTCAAATCACAAGACAAAAGATCAAAAGGTCCACTTGAGCCAAAATGGTGGCCCAAGTGGATACTTATTAAGAGTCAAGACAAGCGACCACCTACGGTTAACGCTTTAGCCCATACCAAAATGCCTAAAGTCCAACGACTCGGGAAGTGAGTCAAAGGATCCCCTTCCTAAAAACACACACACACACACACACACACAAAATGGCTGGAGCTGTGGGTGGGTTGACTCAAATCTGTCCATGTTGCAAATGATGCGCGCCAGCACCGCAGCCAGATTGGTGAGGTTCACAGCCTGCCAAGAGCTCAAGAACAACAAGCCAGCTCGTTGCCAGCCACAGTCAAAACGTGCTTCTGGGTTGTTTGAAGGTACGCGTGTCTTTCTCGGATGGCTGTCAAGGAACCCAACAGAAAGGCACAATCGCAAGGAACCCAGGAACCCGTCAATGGTCCCCGGCAGAAAAACAAGTATGTGTTGGGGTCCTTTACTTCAAAGCCATATCAATTCACCCGCAGTAGATTATGAATATGTTCAAGATCGATCGTTGCGCTCAAATGCGGAGCAACGTATTCGCTGGGAGAGGATACCCAGTTGCAAGCCATGTAAACCATGGACAACCCGAAAATCGATCTGGGAACATGAGAGCGTCCTAGTTGCTTGTGGAAAATGTGCGTGAGGCACTCACGTCCCAAACCCAAATTGACCAGTGACCGTAGAGAGATGGCCCATCGAGACGGTCTCAAAGCCGGCTGCTTCATTTCGCCACCGAATCAAGGGGTCGTCCCCTGTTTCCGAGCATCAGCGAAAGTGAAATGCCACTTGCCCAGCTTCGGCTACAAAATGCCACCATAAAGCCCCACTTGCTATGTTATCTTGTGAAGGCCTGGTTGGGCCTATGCGACTTGATGGATAGACGGGATGGACTCATCGACACCTATGGGACATGTCAACCAGGCCCACCGAAACGGCTGCGACCCAGAAATTGGCTTTTTCAGCGGGGAACCCCCGCGCACAGGTTGCAACCATTCTGAGACTCGCCCCTGAATGGAATGGGAGACAGCTGCAGAACAAGTTCTGGAAGGTTAGACTCACGCCCTGTGGCAGGGTTCTACTTCTTGTGGCTAACAGGGTAAGCAGGCTTTCCAGAGTCGTACAGCTACCCCAATAGTGGGTAACAAAGAGAAGCACACGTAAAAAGGGCAAGAGGGAAATGTCCGGCTGCCCATAGCGACAAACAGGATCCACTGAGTAAGGCAGCAGAGTACGTACCGCTTTTGTTGCATGTGTGCCCCCAGCTTATGTAGGACGACCTGCGCTGAGTGGCGCTCACTTTGGGGTGCGGGTCTTGATATGACCTTGGACGTTTTGATGTTGGGACTGTGTTCTTCACAGACAAACAAATGAGCCCAAAGGAAGACAACCTTTATGGAAGTTTTGACACATTCCCTTGTGTTTGCATCAGGCAAGTCTGAAACCTTTGACACGTTCACGTCGCTTGCACCTCGCCTTTGCAATGCCAAAAGCGCCCACGATGGTAAGCACAATCCGTATGTTGATGGCCTCAAAAGGCGCGTGGAACGCGGCAACGTTCAGCTAAATCTCCTATTGTCAACCCCACCCCGGCTGAAACAGACAATTCTCAAGGGCTCTAAAAGAAATATTGGCCTTGTTGTACATTCACCTGCAACATGTCGTACAGCATGCAACTGATTTGAAAATAAGGGATCTCCGACTTGTGGCCTGCTGTCCTTTGCTGGAATAACAATCATGGTGACATGGCCCGTTGTGTGCTTGGAGCTTGGTTCACATTTGATGCGACGGCACACTGCAACAACACGAGACAGGAGGACAAACACCACTCCGATCACAATGACCATGACTGCGACCACAACCACAGCCACAACCACACACATGCCACTCACAACTAACAACCGCCAACTAACAGCTACACAGCAGCGTCATACACAGCAAACAAAACACACGCAAGCGATCGCACACGCACAGGCAAACAGCAACCCACAACAAAACAACACAAGAAACCACCACCGTTGAAACAAACCACGCAAACACAACAAATTCACCATAGGCCAACATCAATGCTCACGGGTCTCAACCATCCGATTCAAGCAAACCACAACCGAGACAAAGCGGCGCCTCTCTCAGGAAACTCTGGGGGAGTCTATGGCCTCATACGTGCTGATGGGCTTGGGATACCCTCCCAGGGTCAAGTGTTCCAATAACTCTCCAAAACCAGAAATAAGAGTTGAACCCCCACTTGGATGGTCAACCAACGTCAGGCAAGTAGGGTAGAGCCATGGTTATATCTGCATGGTGTCACTGGGGTGATCGTCCCCTTAAAACCAGGGTCATAGCCTAGTTATCGGACGTTGAAGCAGGGTTGATCCCGCATTTCACAAAAATCCTTCACAGCCTTGAGGCTCCAGAAAGAGAAGACCAGGGCTAGGTCCTCCAGTAGAGAGGTTGAAATAAGGGTACCCTTTTTCTGTTGTCTATTTTAGTAGGGGAACCCTCCCCCAAAAAAGGCTAAACTGGCACTACTGGGGTGCCTATTTACGTTGAAACAGGGTTGATCCATCATTTCACAAAAATCCTTCACAGCTAAAGAGAAGACCAGGCAAAACATGGGACGGGGCAGACCCAAGTAAAGCATCTGCACGGCTGTCCCGAGGGGCACTGAAGGCCTTCTGCTGGGGCAGGCAGCCGGACAGCACCTCGACAACTCGATCCGATCTGAGTGCGTCCAGGGGAAAAATCCCGTGGGGTGGTGTCCCTGTGGTTTCCCTCAAAAATCCAAAGGTGCACACAAAATAGGTCTACCCAGGTCTAGTCTCATGATTCAAGTTAGGCCGGATGACATGTGACGTATATGCAATATGCTCTTTCTTCGTGGCTGGCCCGTAAAAAAGTGCCAAATGTACCGCAAGCCGGATTGTTTTTGAGAAGGAGGGGGGGGAGACACCCATCTAGCCAACAACCCCAGTTGCCCAACCCTGGAAACAGCAGTCTTTTTTGGGGGGACCCCACAAATTGTGTTTCATCTGGGTTTGCCTTTACAACCACAAAAAGGGGTACCCGCAAGAGGAGACCCCCCCAGTTGTCCATGGCTCCCGGGAGCCTTGGGAAAACGGGTGCCGTTTTGGACCGGACTTCGTCTTCAATCATCACCCGAGGAAACTCATCTAAAAGGCTCCGTTGATGTTTAGTCGGGCTGAATACTCCAACTAACATATGGAACAATATTGTCATAAGGTTTATATAGGCCTTACAAACCCTTGTTAAACTAGGTGACAAGACCACCAAGTTGTTGTTTCGGCCGAACAGCCCGCTTAAACAAAAGAAGACGTATGTCTCGAAGGGGCACCCCCAAAATGGATTTCAGTTGAACCGACCCCACAAAGGGTAGCCTTCAAAAAAGCACACCCAAATGAGTAGCGCCCCAACTCGTTCATTTGCGGCTCTACCAAACCAATCATAAAGCTTTATATCCATAACCCTTGTTAACCCAGGTGGTAGAACCACCGGGAAAAAACCGGCCAATGAGGGTGTTGGGCGCTGATCAAATAGCAAGAGGGAGCTGCAAACTCTTGCGCGGCGCCATGAGGAAGGAAGTCAGCAGCGCGGCTTCCAGGAGAGGCATCGCTTTACTGGCCACCAGCGCGATCAGCATCACCTCCGAAATCGGGGATGCTGTACAGGGGCCGTGGCCATGGGTCCAAATCCCGGTTTACCCCCAGGGAACGTCCGATTCAATCCAACCGCTAAAATAGGTTCTAAAATGGGCGGTGAATTCACCTGCCCCAAAATGGTAACATTTTTGACCCACAGCCAAATAATTCGTGGGCCAGGCTTAGACACCCAGCAAAAAGTGAGTGTTTGTTGGTTGAAAGGGAACATGACGGACACCCCAAAAGGCAAAAAGCCTAAAAGGTAAGCTAAGTTTGGCTGAGAATAGAATGGGATTGGGGGTTAGGGTACTTCAAAGCCACATTAATGTACTAAGTATATAGCTCCAGGCATCATTAAATTGCATGGTTGTGGAACTCAGGCTTTTTGTGGCCAAGGCCTGCCAGGAAATCCAGTTTCAGGTGAACAATTGGTGACTGAAAGAGTGACTTGGCATTTTCATGGCCTGCCGAACTTGTCGTTCCTGTTCATCAGGGTGCGAAATGCGGATGCCACGATGGATACCAACAAATTTCCGAGATTCATGGCAACAAGATAAGAGAATTGGTCCCGGGAAAAGCGGCCCCAAAATAACGTCGGGACTACTTTCCACCCTGTGGTTTACCGCAATCAACTTAAACAACTACTCACTTCCTGAGTGGATTGGCCAAAAAAGGAACCGACCTCTTGATTTACTACCAAACTGGTGACCCCAAAAATGACTCAAGTCCGACGCCGGAACACAGGGAGGGATCGCCAAAAAAAAGTGACTTAAGTCCAAGATCTCAGGGACTGTCCTCCAAATACATTGCCCCAGTGCCGAGATACCAGCAGGCCGCCGCTGATGATCATATCCCGGTATTGCGTCTCGCTGACGTCGCCCTTGCCACCCTCCTCCTGGTCTCAATGAGCGGTTGTTTGCACTCAAATCCAAGATGCACTTGTTTAGCTTCCATCCCCACCTCACCCACAGAACATCCGGGGTGTGCGCTTCTTTTGCCCGGAAAACAAAGGGACCTCGGATAGAACCCCTAGGGGGTCCTTTTATTTGTCCAATCAAGGGGAGTCAAAAGGCAAAGCCTGTACCCTGGAAAAAAGACCCATGTCCAGTGATAGATTCCCTTCAAAGCCAAAACGTGAAAAACAACCTCAAGCAAATGGAAGCTCTCGCTACTAATCCTGAGTCACAAGGCCCACAAAAACAATCCTGAGTCACAAGGCACCCCTAAAAGCGATGCCGAGGCCTCATCTTCGTTGAGCTTCCGCACCAGGGTGAAGTGGGCGGAGTTCGCGTACTCCGCCGAGAAGTTCCGCGGCACGTCCAGGATCAGGTTGTCGCCGATGCAGAACCTCCCGGCTGTGTCGGAGTCACGGCAAACCCGTCTTGGGTGGGTGTGTCTTAAAATAGGGGAACCCCCTCCCAAAACAAGGGCTGGCTTCGGTTTTCCTGTTGATCTCGGTTTCAAGGGAGACTGCAAGCCCACCATTGGTTGAAATGCGTGAAGAAAGAGGGCTCCCCCTACCTTTCGTGGGGAAATTTGGTGCCCCCCCCCCCCCCCCCCGGCAGGTCCTCCCCAAATTAACAGCAAATAATCATGTACTGTAGCTGTGATTCGTCAACAAAAGTGGCCGAAGAGCTTGAGGTCTCGTCGAAAACGAACAACCACACTCGTGTTCCCAGAGTAGGCAATCATCAATCCTAACTACGATCTCGCTTTAAAGTCTCTTGGTATCACAATGATTGAAACTCATTTCTCACAGTGAAGCCTCTAAGACCAATTCGTCCAAAGGTCAGGTTTGAGGCTATGCCCGGAACATGAAACTGGAAGCAAGCGACTTCTGATCTTCGTTTTGTGGAGGGTGGCTTTGGACACCTTTACCTTGGCCTTCCGAACCCAAACAAATGGAATCACAAGGGCTTGTTCTTTTTCAGAAGCACACCTTTTTCCTGAGAAGTATCCCTGATAAGACTTTGGAGGGGGGGTGACAGGGACGTCCAACAAGAGAAAATTGTTCTTCCAGGCACCCTCCGCCAATTGCCATGCAGTGGGAGAGTAGACACGTTGGGCTTCCTTCCTCTGCTTGGCTTGGGAACGTGCCCGCCCCGCCGTTCGGAACGGTTCTCGCATCGGTGGGAAACAACAAGTTATGTTGGGAACACCCCCTGGGATTCGGCTTATAGTTTTGGCCGTCCAAGTCACCAACCAGAAGTGGTAGGTAACAACCCCAGTTTCTGACGTTGACAACCCTGGAATCCCTAAGATCAACATAACAACTTCAAAAGAAACACATTGGAAATGAAAGTGGGCTCTTCAGCGCAAGTCACGCTGACACCCAATCAATGAACAGGGGGCGCTCTGATCCCAAAAGGGCCCCCCAAAGAGATACTAGATGAGCCTTTGGGGGACCAAGAAAACAACACATGTCAAGACAGCACTGCAACATAACTCACAAAGCCGAATCTTAGGTTCTGCAGATCCACAAACATGGCAGGACACAAAGACAAATATTACTTGAGTTATGTATCACCGAGCAACTCAAAGGGTTGTAGCCCTCACAGCCCAAATCTGGCTGACCACAAACTTCAGATGCGCTACAGCCGCGCATTTGCAACGAGAAAGTATCCAGCACTAGGGGGCGGTTTCCATTCACCCATTCCCAAAACCATCAATCCAAACCACCAACTAAGGATAACCTGAAACAAACCGGGCAACACAAACGAAATCAAGCTGCACTTTGCTTTGTCAATTCGCGAAATGAAAGGCGGGTCAAACAAAATTACGCTGATGTGTACAGGTTCCAACACCAGGTCCTTGGTTTCTAGGTGGAAAAAACAAACAGGTCTCGTTTCGTTTCCAAGTAAACCTTTCCGCCTTCCCGCAAAAGCTGTTTTCGTTCAGGTAAACCCTCCCCCTCTTGCCAAACCTTGGCATGTGGCATAAACAAACAACTGTTTCTTGGAGCCCCCCGCTACATGAACAGCACCAAGGTTCAACAAACTGACAAACTAAAAACAAATGTAAAAATGCAAACACATGCCAAGAACAGAAGCCCACCAATCACCGCCTTCCCCCAGAACCGCACCCTCCACCCCTTTGCGGGCAAAGCCAAGGTGCCGGTACACGCCGGCGTCGTCGGCGTCCCGCTTCTGAGCCCGCAACAGGGCCACCATGGTCCGGACCTGGCGGTTTGATGGAAACCTCCCGGAAAACAACGAGCTAGTAACCTATATATATGTATATATCTATATATTTATATATTGGACCTTGCCCCCACCCACTAACAGTGGATGATGGAAATGTTGATCAACCACCACTAAAATGGTCTTCCAAATTGTGGTGACTGTTAGTGTTTGATGTATATATATATAGTACCCCCCGTGGATCTATCGTCCTTCAGAACTCACTGGTACGTGCAGTGTATAAATATATATATATATATATTATGAGCATATACATATATATATATATTTACATATACATACATATATGGCTACCCCCTCCCCCCCCCAAACCAAAAAAAGAAAAGATGAAAACACACAACAACAAACGGTTTTGAGCGACATGGTCAACATGTCTTGGTCTTCAGTGTCTTCCTTCCTTTGTAAATATATATATATATATGTATGCATATACAAATATATATATATATACATATCCCCGCATGGACTCTGGTTTACTGCCTTTTGAAGATGGCAAATCCAGAATCTCAACATTTATGTTCCCGAAATGTCCGATTGTGGGTCCCCAAAGCCTGATAATTTGGAGCCCGGAGTCCCCAGAATGTCCCAATACGATACCCTTTCCAAATAGGATCTTACTTGAACTAAAATTGAAACTTTGAATATAGCTTAGTAAGGATACAGTTTTCAAAAATGGGTTTATGTTTGAATAAGCAAATCCTTTCCAAATAGGAGCTACATTGAAATGTAAATGTACTTTCGGGGTAAACTCCAACTAATCTTTCACAAAAGAAACTAGATAGGAGTTGATCCCCAAACATAATCTAAGTGTTAAATATAATCCAATACGAACACAATTCAATTAGCCTTTGATAATAACAACGTGTGTGAACATACATACATATGAATATCGATATATACACATACACACACACATTTATATATATATATATAGATAGTACCCGTAATGATCCTGCGCCTCTTCATAACATACTGGAAAATACAGTGTTTTGAGCATTTCACCTACCTTTGTGAACCTCCTGAAAAAGGGCCAGCATGAGCATAGCTGACATGAAGCTCACCAAAAGCACTTGAAAGTTTGTCTAACTAATAACTTGAAAGTGTTTCCACTGGATCGCTAAGCACTTGAAATTATTGTTCCACTGGATGGAAGATTCAAGATTGACGATTACACAGAAAACTTTCCTGAGAATTGTCAATCCTGGCCAAACCCAAACAACATTCAAGTTCCCCTAACCCTTGAAAGTGCTTTACCACTGGATGTTTGGATTCAATATTGAGGAGTGCACAAACAACCCGGCGGATGGGAAACCGCGCGAGCGTTTTCGTGACCTCGCTTGCCGAAGCAGCATGGCAGCAGTCAAGAAACACAGATTTTTCCCACAAAAAAGTAAGCAATCCTGATCCCGAGCGCACCTTTTTCACGCGAGTTCCAGTGAGAGAAAAAAACATGCGTGTTCACCCCACGCCTGCCAATAACTTCTGAGCAAATCATGGTTTTCAGGGTTTCCAAACGCCCCCCCGCGAAGTTCGGAAGTGTCACGAAACCTCAACAAAACGCGAAAAAGACGGTCAAAAAACTCAACCTCAAAAGACCTATGCGAGCAGGTATGCATTGCGTGGCGGATGCACTTGAGCGTGGGTTCTTACCATCTGCGAGCATGTGTGTACCATCTGCGAGCATGTGCGCACTGCGTGGCGGATGCGCTTGAGCGTGGGTTCTTATCATCTGCAAGCATGTGTGCAATGCATGGCGGATGTGCTTGAGCGTGGGTTCTTACCATCTGCGAGCATGTGTGCACTGCATGGCGGATGCACTTGAGCGTGGGTTCTTACCATCTGCGAGCATGTGTGCACTGCATGGCGGACGCACTTGAGCGTGGGTTCTTACCACCTGCGAGCATGTGTACCATCTGCGAGCATGTGCGCACTGCGTGGCGGATGCGCTTGAGCGTGGGTTCTTATACCATTTGCAAGCATGTGTGCACTGCATGGCGGATGCGCTTGAGCGTGGGTTCTTACCATCTGCGAGCATGCATGCACTGCATTGCGGATGCACTTGAGCGTGGGTTCTTACCACCTGCGAGCATGTGTACCATCTGCGAGCATGTGCGCACTGCGTGGCGGATGCGCTTGAGCGTGGGTTCTTATACCATTTGCAAGCATGTGTGCACTGCATGGCGGATGCGCTTGAGCGTGGGTTCTTACCATCTGCGAGCATGCATGCACTGCATTACGGATGCACTTGAGCGTGGGTTCTTACCATCTGCGAACATGTATGCACTGCATGGCGGATGCACTTGAGCGTGGGTTCTTGCCGTCTGCGAGCATGTGCGCACTGCATGGCAGATGCACTTGAGGGCGGGGTTCTTACCATCTGCAAGCATGTGCGCACTGCATGGCGGATGCACTTGAGCGTGGGTTCTTACCATCTGCGAGCATGTGTGCGCTGCATGGCGGAAGCGCTTGAGCGTGGGTTTGTACCATCTGCGAGCATGTGCACACTGCATGGCGGATGCAGCTACTATCAATTGCGCGCACTGCGTGGCGAATGCACTTGCGAGCATGAGCGCACTGCACGGCGGATGCGCTTGAGCATGGGTTCTTACCATCTGCGAGCATGCGTGCACTGCATGGCGGATGCACTTGAGCGCGGGTTCTTATCATATGCGGGCATGTGTGCACTGTGTGGCGGATGCACTTGAGCGTGGGTTCTTATCATCTGCGAGCATGTGTGCGCTGCATGGCGGACGCGCTTGAGCGGGGGTTCTTACCAGCTGCGTGCATGTATGCGCTGCATGGGTTCTTACCATCTGCGTGGCGGATGACCGAGCGTGGGTTCTTATACCATCTGCGAGCATGTGTGCACTGCGTGGCGGATGCGCTTGAGCGTGGGTTCTTACCATCTGCGAGCATGTTTGCACTGCATGGCGGATGCACTTGAGCGTAGTTCTTACCATCTGCGAGCATGTATGCACTGCATTGCGGATGCCCTTGAGCGTGGGTTCTCACCATCTGCGAGCATGTGTGAGCTGCATGGCGGATTCACTTGAGCGTGGGTTCTTGCCATCTGCGAGCATGCGCGCGCTGCGTGGCGGATGCACTTGGGCGCGGGTTCTTACCATCTGCGTGTGCACTGCATGGCGGATGCGCTTGAGCGTGGGTTCTTACCATCTGCAATGATGTGTGCACTGCGTGGCGGATGCACTTGAGCGTGGGTTCTTACCATCTGCGAGCATGTGTGCACTGCATGGCGGATGCACTTGAGCGTGGGTACTTACCATCTGCGAGCATGCATGCACTGCATGGCGGATGCACTTGAGCATTGTTTTTTTTAGAGGCTCAGGGCTTATACCTTGCTGGGGAGGCTTCGTGGAGCCACAATTTGTGGAAGGGTTGGCTTCGCGAGGCTTCGCGGCAAGACTGTGGCTTCGCGGAGTGGCTTCGCCGGGCTTCGCGGACGCTCGTTCCACAAACATCTTTGACGTTTGCGCTCCCATGTCGTTGAATCAAGTTGAGTCCATGCGATGAACGGCGGCAAGAGAGGCATTGAGCTTCAGGACTATGGCTGGGCCTCAAAGGGGCGGAGCATGGAAGTTGGACCACGATGGCTTCGCGGTGGCTTCGCGGTGGCTTCGCGGAGGCTTCGCGGTCCATGGTCGTCTTCCCGCAATCTTCCTGTAATCTTGTCGTAGCCTGCTAACTCTAAACATCAACCTTTGGATTACTACTACCATGAAAGCGCACAACACACTTGCCGTGAAAGCACGCAACACACTCAAACCACGAAGTGGCTTCGCCTGTGTCAATGTTACCGGGCTACGCGAAGTGGCTTCGCGGGGCTTCGCGGTACACAATGTATCACACAAGTGCCTTCGCGGACCTTTTGGGAGTTCCCCACGAAGCTAAAATCCATCATCTGAGAAAAAATGCTGCTCAATTGAGCGTGGGTTCTTACCATCTGCGAGCATGTGTGCGCTGCATGGCGGATGCACTTGAGCGTGGGTTCTTACCATCTGAGAGCATGTGTGCACTGCACGGCGGATGCACTTGAGCAGGAGTTCTTACCATCTGCAAGCATGTGTGCACTGCGTGGCGGATGCACTTGAGCGTGGGTTCTTACCATCTGCGAGCATGTGTGCACTGCATGGCGGATGCACTTGAGCGTGGGTACTTACCATCTGCGAGCATGTGTGCACTGCATGGCGGATGCACTTGGGCGTGGGTTCTTACCATCTGCGAGCATGTATGCACTGCATGGCGGATGCGCTTGGGCGTGCAACGTGCCAAAAAGTGCAAAAACGCACGTGCGGTTTACCAGCCGTTAGCACAAACAACAACTTTCCTGAGAATCATCCAACCTGGTCAACCCCTGAAAAGTTCAAGTTGTTCTAACACCTCGAACGTATTTTACCACTGGACGAGATTGACATATTTCATGGAAAACTTTTCCGAGATTCTTATTGAACACCGATAGTGTTTGTTTCTTTATTTTACTGGGATTCAAGATTCCCAGAAAATATTTTCTCAGATTCTTGACTCTTGAATCTTGAATCCCTGATTGTTTAAACAAAAAATGAGTTGTTCTTATTACTCTTGAATGAGTTCAAACTCTTTCAGATTGCAGATGCTGATGTCATTGCATATATCACATCTGTACGCATGCACACATGTCATATTTACAAATGGCACCCCCCCCATGTTGACACAAAATCCAAGAAGCAAAAAGAGGCATACAACACTGGAAATTACAGGTCAAACGCGCCAAATCAGGGTCCATGGGGGTGGGGTACCATATATATATATATTTATATTATTGCATAGGGAGAAAAACAGAGAGAGAGAGAGAAACAGAGAGAGAGAGAGAGAGAGAGCGACATGCACAATATATCATATGTACCATAATATGTACCATTTTCTCAATGTGTACCAAAATACATAATATATATATATAATGTATACCCATATAATATGTATAAATCTTATACGTAGGTCTGTGCATATGTCTGGTCCACTCACCGATTCCCTCGCCGGGCTCGCGGCTCGTCTCTTGCCTCGTCGGCCTGCGCCTGAGGCTTTCGAAAGTGTTGGATGGTGCAGGGCCGGATCGACAGGCAGTTGGCGCCGTAGACGTTGTCCAACCTCGGGCCCCAACGGTGTGATCTACCGGCGCTCGGGACCCAACTGCGAGGGAGATGGCGAGGTGGCGAGGTGGCTGAAAAGCATGTACTAAAATGGGAACTCCGAGATGTTGGGGCCAATTTCAGGTATACCATTTCTTGTGACCCACACCCAAATCAAAAACTGGTATACCAATTTTTGACCCACATGAAAAATGACAAACAGTACATCCACCCTTCTAGCGGCCCCCCGAATCTACCCCGGGTGCTTGGGACCCAACTGCGAGGGAGATGGCGGGGTGGCTGAACAGCATGTACTAAAATGGGAACCAGCCCCAGTTACACCAGTAAAAACCCTTGGATCACTAGTATTCTACGGCTTGACTCCTTGTCCTCTTTTCGACCATTCTTCTTTCCAAAAACCGGATTTCCATGGGTTTCCGGAGGTTTTCTAGAAAGAAGGATCCCTGGAAAGAATGGGGAAGGTACCCCTAGAATACTGATTCTCATTCAGGGAACCATGACCATAGGCCAAGCAAACGGACTTTTCATAGTCTCAAAATTTAAGAGCCACGGCAAACCGGGATTAGTCTTTGGCTCCACATACCAAGGCGCCATTTTGGTAAATGTTTTTGAGCTACAGTCATATCCCCCGACCAACTTGGGTCCCAAGCATCCTGGTTAGATGAACATGAAAACCCTCGGCTCTTCGACCAAGTTAGCACCTAGGATAGAACCATGGGTTTTAACTGGGGCTGGTTCCCTTAGACCTACTTGCCTGACGTTGACGGGACTTCGGAGTAACCCCCCCGGGCCCTTTGGCACTCCATGGGCCGTGCCAAAGAAAACATAGGACTGTTTCCTTAGGAACACTGCTTTGACTTGTTTGCCAGCATCAAGTACTAGGGTGTTTTGACTCCGGCGCAATTGTGTGGGCTGGGGCTGGTGTTGGTCACATCCACATCAATTCCGGAGGCCAAAACTCCTGTGGCTCGTTCGCTCCTTTTGGGCCACTGGGGGTTCCTTCCTGAATTCGAGGCAAACGCGGATGTTGCCGGGTACAGCGCACAACCCTTGGAAGCAACCGGGAAGGCTGGGGATCTGTCATCCCCGTATTTCTTCTTTTCCTAGTTTCAGTCAAATCCCTCATTCCTCACTGTCAGGTTCGATTGGTAGAAACATGTCCAGACTTTTGGTTTATTCCAATAAAAGAAGGAGACCCGCAAAATGATTGGCTTCCTGGTGGAAGCACCTTGAAACAAGCCTGAACCGAAATCATCGTCCCAAAAACTAATTCATGTCCAGAAGCTGGGGCAGTGACGGAGTCGACCGAGTACAAACCCCTGACTCTGAAGGAACCCCCAACAAAAAAGCACAGGCCCATTAAGGAATCCTCGAACTTACCCTGTACATGGTGGTTGAAACAAACATTAAACCATCCCAAGAAGTAACCTTGTGTTGGTTTCCTTTTGGTGTCCAAGTGATGGGGAAACACAGGCGCTCCTTGTCGCTGGCTTCTGAAGAAAAGCCAAGAAGCCAAGAACAACAACAAGTTGGAACCAGTTCGGTGGGGGTCGTTCGCTGGGAAGTCGTTCGATGCGAGACGCGTGTTTTTTTTCTCTGAGGTTTTCTCCGCGTGGCAGGGTGGTGGAGGTCATCGGCTGCTTCACCAGCGGGCACAGCCCGTCCAGCACCACCTCCACGATGTCGCGGCTGTCGTCCCGGTGCTGGTGCTCGAAACCCCCTGCGATGGTCAAACACGGGTACCCACAATGGACGAAAATATGGGCTAACAGCTATGGTTCCCTGGTGGTTTAATTTTGGCCCATTCCCAACCGTCTTCTAGATCCACTAGGTCCTCCAGTGGAGAGCTTAGACTAAGTTGGTACCCGATTTTTTTCTGTTGTCTCTTCTAGTAGGGGAACCCTGGCCAACCAACAAAGGGTAAGAAAGGGCACTGCTGGGGCACCTAGTTTTGGTTTAGCAACCCAGGGCGCGAGTTGGGAAAACCGAGTAGGGAAAAGTGCACGGCACAAGTCCCTTTCTGTCGGTAAGTAAACGGGATAAAAAGCAACATGCGGAATTGTGGAGCTGGTATCCTTTTCAGGAATGTTTATATATAGGAAAACCAACAAAAACATTCTTTTTTATTTATTTTTTTTTGGGGGGGGGGGGCGGGGTTCCCTACTTTAACATTAAGGATCCCTCATGATCAGGGTGGTCGATTAGCGCCAAAACTAAAGACTATTGCGTAATTGAGCCAAACTTCAGACTGGGTGGTCGATTCACACATTGCACTGCCAACCAAAACGTGGTTCCTCCCCAAAACAAGGGCATGAACTTAAATGGGAACTGCGGAACATGAATTTCACCTAAACGCTGTCGGTCCACCATTTCGGGTCCCCTATTAAAATGCACCCCCCATGTGGGTATGTGTGGCGGTTGAAACATCCCATTTGGTTTCACTTGGTTACCCATCTAGGTGTCAGTTCAGCACCCATTGCATGCAACTGCCTGTCTGATGAGGACTTCGGGGAGAGGAAAAGGGATCCCCACAAAAACGAAAAACAAGAACAGGGGGACCGATCAACTAACATCCTATGATCGTTTAATTCAACTGGGATTTGTCCAGTGAGCATCCCCAGAAAATATTTTTCTTTGTGCTGTTTTCCCCAAAAAATAAAATTGGTCCAGTGAGTATCCCCATGTCTCTGATTCGGGGCTTGGCCGCTTGGTTTGTCCGAGTTTCCATCATCACTCGGCTTGTCTCAGGGGAACCCGTTTCCTCTTCCTTTGGTTTCCCAAACCATAAAACAGACTCACGCAGTCTGTGCGAACTGTATGTGTTGGAATAGGGTGACCCTACTGCAAAATAGTCCTTCTTGGATTCCTCACCAACCTCAGCATAGACACACATTGAGTACATGTATATGCATCGGTACTCTGGATGGACAAAATCCTGCACCACTCGGAACCTATGGGAAACCATTGTTTCTTGGTATTCACAGGGAATCATCCTGCCAGGGTCTCTTAGGTGCAGGATTTTGTCCATCCACCGTAGGAAGGGAAAGCGCCAAGGCGCCGTCCAGGGCGATCAAACTCACCCCGGGCAGGCCGATCAGCTCCAGTACCGCGTCTGAAGTCGTCCAAACGTACATCACGTCCTGGGCGAACTTCTCGCCGGGTGGGAATTTTGCAGAAGGTGGCGGGTGTTTTTTGTGTTTTCTTTTACACACATTTATTATTATTGTTATTATTATTCTGACTATTATTGTTATTATCCTTACTATTATTATTATCATTATTATCATCATTATTATTATTATCAGTTTTGTTATGTTTATTATTGTCATTGTTGTGATTATTGTTGCTATCTTTATTGTTAGTATCATTAGTCTTGTCAATATTAGTATGAGTATTGTTGTTTTTATTATCATTTATTATTATTGTTATCATTCGTATTGCTTTTTATTATTATTACTAGGAGTATGATGAGTATTATGAGTATTATGAATACTACTATCATTATCATCATTTTATTATCATTACTATTACTATTATTGTTATTAGTATAAATAGCTAACCCCCCAAACATTGGCGGTGTCCAAATGCTTTCCCTTTCAACAGCATGGTGGACATTGCACAAGATGGGTTTGTCTCAAAACTTTTTGGACTGGTCGGAGAGTGCCGCATTTTCTCAGGGAGAATTGCCCCTGTTTTGTGGCAAACCCGCCCCAGGCGGGAATTGACAGTTCCACTGTCACTCGGGCCGCGGCCCCCAAACAGTCGCCACCAATGGGACGACCGTTTTAGTGCTTCCGACTTGGTCGCAATCCGCTGGTGGGGGTAGTTTCAAGTGATACCAAGGGAAAGCGATCCAGACGAATCTTCCCTAAAGGAGAGGCTCCTTGGTATCGCAGGAACCAACCTCTTCCCACAACCTTGGGCTTCACATGCTTCAGCCATTGCTTAAAGGACGTCCTGTTAGTTGTCGGTTTAAAGGAAACCAGGATCTGAAGTCACACGTTTTGCCACCAATTCTGGCAGTTGCCTTTGATACACAAAAGGAGGCATTGGAATGGCTCTCCTCAATATTTGGGGACGGAGCCACACGGTGCAAAAGCGACATGGTGGCAGGTCCATGTTGTTTTTTACCACTACTGTTAGCCCCAGATTAACAAACCCCTGGTTGATACATACTGGGTGTCCCCTTGTAATTAGTGGTTGGATTCAGACCACTTTTGGAGGGAACCCCCTAATGGGACGAGTGAAAAATCCTGGGTCAACATTAACATGGTCCTTCCAAAAGAGAAGGGTCCATTTGCTTCCCAAAGAGTCTGGCTAATTTTGGGACTCTCAGGCAGCGGCGTACTGCTCCAGACCAAACTTCTCCTCGGAAAGGCGGGGGTGGAGCTTTCCACACGCAACAAACAAATGTGGCCATGGGTCAAAATCCAAATCGTATTCCCAGGGAACATCCCAATCCCCACTAAATTAGACTCAAATGGGTGGTGCCCCCACCCCAAAATGGTACCATTGCTTTTGACCCACAGCCATGTAGATCATTAAACAGGGTTATTCAAAGGAACTAGTAGCTTTGAAGGATTTGGATCCTCCACATGCTGGAGTTTAGGTGATCCTTGAACTGGCAAAATGACATCCCGGTAAAGAAGGCGCGCTGCATGTTTGGCTGCCTCTTTCTTTTCAACCAAAAAGGCGATCTGAGCGCTGACATCGCCTAAGGGAAGCGGCACCCCCCAAAAAAAGGTGGGTGTCCTTTTGGCTTCCCTTTAAACACCGCAAACAAAAGCTACCCTGGAGAAAAAACAAAACAAAAACGCAGCCACATAGCTCAAAAGCTCGATCCGCTTTGGATAAGTGAGGCGGAGGAAGAGATCGTGCAGGGAAATAAAATGATCATAACAACTCCTCACTTCCTGAGCGGAGTGGCCAGCAAAAGTTTGAACTCTTTTAGTACAAAAATGGTCTTCCCAAAGCATAAAAAGTCTGAACTCTTTGTTTCGTACAAAACAATGGTTCTTTCCCAATGTATAACATCCAGGAACTCGGGGAGTGAGTAACTCCATCAACACCCAACGTCCACGTTCCCCAGACAAACGAGCCTTCGGTGAGTGTGGCTCATCCGAGATCCAACCCCCACAGCTAAGAAACGAAAGCACAAATTCGAGGCGCACACACACACACACACATGTCATTGTAAAGGCTCTGTCCCACTCTTCAATAAAATCGAATACAGTCATGGGTTTTGACTGTGACCTCATCTAAACCTGCCGATCACACCAAAATCAATATTGATGACGCACTTCTCTAGAAACGGCTTGGATGCGTTGTTTGCGGATATCACCTCTTCTTCCCCCTGTTGGTCCTTTTTCTGGTCGTCTTTTCGTACTCTTTTAATATTCTACAGGGGTGGATCCACAAAAGTCACATGCAAACCGTTTTCTAGAGCTTCCCTTGTCGGCAAGGGGATATCCGGGTTTGTCTTTTTGAGGGTATTCTGTTTGGGCTGGTTTCTAAAGGGAAACCAAAAGGAAAATGACCCAGCTTGGGGGGTGCCTGTATAAACAAAGACACCCAACTGGCCCCAGTTGATAATGGAAGGGACCCACACACCCGCCTGATCTCAGCTGAGCTGCGCTGATCGTGTCAAGGTCAATCTGCGATGGGCCGAAGGTTCGGTCGGGAGACACGCCATGCTTCCATTCAAAGCCCCATTAGCGGCGGTCAGTGACAAGTATTTGGGGCTTGGCCCGAAAACTCCGCCCTTGCGCCCAGTGGTTAACCAGTTGCGGGTAATATCAGGGGCTAAGCAAAACTTACCGGCGCTGAGATGCGCTGAGTAATCCATGTCCGTGACATTATATTCTCCCTAAGGATCAACGAAAAGGTGAACAGCCAGAGCCAGGCTGTTGAATGGAACCAACTGGGAGGGATTGGGAGTTGTTTTGACCGGGGCGCGAAGGCACAAATGTAGCTGAACTTGGACTGCAACCAAGACAAACCGCGTTCCTGCAACCAGGGTTCAATATGTTGTTGACACAAAAGAAATGCGAATCACAAGCAGGTCGAGCTGACGTTTCATTGGTCTACTCAATATGACGAGTCGCGAATGGAAAAGCAACATTTAAGTTCGGAAAGTCTGCCTTGTCGCATCGAACCCAACTTGGGAGAGTCAACCTCAAATTTGTGCCTGGAACCTCAAATTGCTCATTGGCTGGTTGTGGTAGAATGGCCATCCGTTTGCTCGTTTGCTCATTGCTGAAAGCCAGATCAATGGCTTGACAGGGCCAGCCATGAATGAAAAAACATGTTTGCCATTGCTGACATCGAACTAGAAAATGAAGACACGTAGGTGGAGAAACCAGGCTCAGGTTGGGACAATCCGCAACTGGAAGTCACAGGCCGGTAAAGACCAGGTGCAAACATTTCCAGGGGTTTCCAACACAAGCCTTTTAGGGACCCTAGACCGATACCCATTCAGTCTGCCAAACTGCGAGGAAAGGGACCACCCAAACCGATATCCTGTTATTGTCCACTGCGCAAGTTCTGGATGGAACTTAGAAGAAAAGCAGCACAAATGACTCACTCTCTGCAGGGACGGGGAAACAAACTATTCCTTGCACCGGGTAACTCCCTCAACAGTAATTTTTATGTTTAGCGCATCGAACAGTAGTTGATGTAAGACTTTGAGGTTCAGAAGACCACTATCATGGTTCATATTCAAACATGTTTGTAGCCCGGCGGGCCCTGGCTTCAAAGACCCTGGGCTTAGGGGGTACTTCCATTTGCTGAAACGTCCCCTAGGAACCAAAAACACATATTGCCAGTAGCGATAGATTCCCGTTACAAACAACTGGCAAAACTGAACACAGATTACCTGTACAGTACGTAACCAAGAGAACCGCCCCTTAAACCACCAAAATGGCGAAGGGCCACGTACCGTGGTTTGCCTTGATCCTCTGGGTGACTTTCTGTTAAAGGCATTTGAAGGGATTTGTGAAGGGTGATCTACTCTCGGTTGCTTTCTGCGCCCCTGCTAAAAGTTTAACTTTTAGTGGTTTAATGGACAACCCATGAGCTGGCAAAAAGTTAAAGTCCTAACATCCCTTGGACAAATGCACCAAAGTTACTGGGGTTTGCCTTGGAGGGTTAGGAGTTGGGGGTTATGGAGATGGGAGGGTTGGAGGCGATGAGTCTTGCCTCCTCTCCCATGCGCTCGACACGGACGATGTTCGCCACTTTGCCCATCACTGTCAAGAGCCCGGAATCCGCCAAGGACCTCGATGTGGACACATGGGCGGGTGGGTGGGCTTTTGGGTGTATTGCATATGCATATACACACGTGTGCATCTGAGTGTTTTGCAGGGGGTTGAATTTAACAATGAACCAAATTTTAGGGCCCCCTTGACATGCATGTGGCTGCATGCGTATATATATATATATAGATACATATATATTGCTCATACACGACCATGCTTGACTCTTTCTCTCTTTACCAAAGTGGCTTCCCGGACCTCCGACATAAATCTCAAATCCGATCGAATGGATTGGCCAAACCAGATCCAAACTTTGTGTTTGCCGCTCAAATGGTCCAAGCCCAAAGTACGGGAACTCAGGAAGTGAGATATACTCTATGCAGAACCTTCCGGCCAGACCAGGCTCCAAGGGTTCTCGCAAACATTTGCGTCAGGGCAAGTCATCTTGAATATGAGCTTCGTGTCCGCTGAGCAATATTGAGGTGCTCAGCTCCTGGCTGGCCATTCAACAGGCTGCCGGTGATCTGAATGTTGGCCAGGAACAGCTTCTTCCCCGCCGTGCTCGGAGTTCCCTGCGCGGGGATTCGGGACGGCCAAGACAGGGGACCCTACACTTCCCAATTTTTAGCCGGAAAAAGAACATCGCCTTTTGGGTGGCGCGTTTAGATGGGAGTTGTTCACTAGAGGAATCAACAAAAAATGGGGGGGAGGGGGAGGTTCCTCTACGCTGAAGGCTCTAGGGTGACTTTCGCTGAAAATGCCGGAACAGGCCACACTTCTCAAAAGGAAAGGAAGAAAGGGAGACAAGGCAGCCGATTTCATATGTAAATACACCGTACGTGTATATATATATATATATACAATATTAATATTGATATGGTCACACCCCTCATGATCTACATATGTTTATGCATATAATGTGTACTCAACCCCTTGCTTGCTTCGCTTTTCTCGAGCAGTCGCGCCTTGGTGGGCGAGGAGCTGGTTGTCTCAGAGGCCTCCATGTAAAGCAGCATCCTCGGGACCGCAGTTCATGGCTCCCATTCGACCCCTTTCTCCCTGCACCGGACTCCGGGGGGAAAAACTCAGTTCGGTGACCCTGGAAAAAAAGGGAACCCTTTTGTGGGAAGACCATTTTAGTGGGGCAGCCACCAAAAAAAAGGGGAAAAAGGGAGCCACTGAACAACTGAGAAAAACAAAACGACACAAAAAGGAAGGACTGGAAGGCATGTGCATTCCACAGCAACTGCGCATGCAAGTCTAATGCATGTGACCAGAGTACACCCCTGCCTGATTGATAGGGCTGTGCTCCCCTTCAGGGGGAACTCATCACTCTTGGTGACAAACAACCCCCTTATTGATAGGAGGGCTTCATTTCTATATCCGGGGTCAGCATGGAAGCCGCGTGGAGCACGTCACAGGTATGTCTTCAATGCCGTGTACGGCCCTTAGAGTTGTCTTAAATGGAAAATATATCAACTTTTCTACTTTTTTTGTGGGGGTCCCCTATATACATGGAGTACTTCAAGACACACCCAAGTGAGGATCTTACAGCAAACAGACAAAGAATGTGCTTGAGAAGCCCTGAACTATGCAATCGAGTGCCTGCCAGATGGCCCAAGATCGGACGAGCTCTCTCGGATGAGTAGTCCATGACAGCCAAGATCCTGTTTTTGTGTTGTGTGTTTCCTTTTTTTTTGGGGGGGGGGATGTGTGAAGGTCAAGCATGGTGTCAAAATCCGTCAACAGAAATGAAACAACTGTTTGCTTGCCACTGAGTCGTCCCTAGCTTAAAGTTCAGCCAATCAGAAAAGCTGATCCAGGAGCAAACGACCGGTCCATCATTCGCAATTCCCCATGGACAGAGTACGTTCATCTCAGATGCACATGCCTGGGTAGTTGGGTGACCCTAAATGGACTGGATGCTACTCACATGACTGTCCTTTGGTGCAAGCTGGAACATGTTTCTTGGGACCTTGTTCAGCGTCCTGAGGTATGAGCTTCATCATTTGGGTAAACCAAACATGTCCGCATATTCTTCCCCATGAAATTTGCCAGTTGCACGACCAGCCAACGAAAAAAACCATCGCAAAGCCTCGATTTGGCCATCCCCGCCTCCATTTCGGGAAATGGTCCGCTCGACCCTTCAATACATTTGTTCCCGCGTACCCACCATGCAGGCAAACATGTTTGAGGATCAGAGTCGGGGCAACACAAGCAACAGGGCAAAAAAGATGGGTGTTTCCTTGTGGTGTCCTTTGAAAAAAGGGTCCAAACATTTTGACGAACTCCCATAGAATCATCTAGGGGCTGGATATTGGCAAACATGCACAACACACACACACACACACACACACACACACACACACACACGCACGCACGCACGCACGCACGCACGCACGCACGCACGCACGCACGCACGCACGCACGCACGCACGCACGCACGCACGCACGCACGCACGCACGCACGCACGCACGCACGCACGCACGCACGCACGCACGCACGCACGCACGCACGCACGCACGCACGCACGCACGCACGCACGCACGCACGCACGCACGCACGCACGCACGCACGCACGCACGCACGCACGCACGCACGCACGCACGCACGCACGCACGCACGCACGCACGCACGCACACGCACGCACGCACGCACGCACACACACACACACACACACACACACACACACACACACACACACACACACACACACACACACACACACACACACACACACACACACCACACCCACACACACACACACATACCAAGACAAGCATCGGCACGGCGATGGCGCAATAGAGCACTGTCACCTCACTGCGGATGCAGGTCTCGCGCGTGGCCGAAGGCGAGAAAATGGACGAGCATCCGCTGGTAAGCAGAAATCCCGCTGGAGTAACTTTTGAGATCCGGAAAATGTTCACTGCTTGAGAGGCCCCGTGAAAGTTGCAATGATTCACCAACTTACAAAACACAAATCACAAATCAAGAGACAACTGAGTAGTAAAAAAAAAGGAGACACTTTGGTGGACATCATTGTCAGGCAAATTTTGCGTCGGCCCACCACTTTAAATCTATTTAACGGAGTTATCCTCATTGAAATGTTGTACGTCGTAGCCACATCTTGCCAGGTGCCCGCCAAGTGGCCATGCCACAGGTCAAGGACAGAAGCGCAATGTCGAAGTTGCCAAAGGGCTCCAAGCCTGCCAAAGGTGTTCTGAGTAGAACCCGCAGGGGGCGTGGGGAGGTTTTTTTTTTTTTTGTTTTTTGTTTCTCTCGAAACGTGGTCTGAGCATTTATTTTTTGGGACACCGGGACACCGATCAAAGCCAAGGGGTTTATCAATCCGCTTGTTGCTCCTGAGCTTTGCCTGGCGTATGGAAACCTCCCGTCTCATTGCTCGCGATCCGCTTGGTGGTCCAATGGAGAGACGCCCTGCTCATGTGCGATCCGTGCAACCAAAAACCAGCCAGCGTAATTGTTGCGCCCTGGCGACGCTGAACTTTATCCTGCATTCAACTGTCAGCTTCCCTTGAATTGGCGGTAGGGGGGTTTGGATTAGGGATGGTTCTCCATCTGCCAGCGACACAAGCCACAAATCCAAATCACCAAATAAGGGGAAGCTGAAACTCAAAGCACCGGGCAAAAGCAGTTGAGCCCACTTGCAACTGTTTCACTCAAGTGTTTCGCGGCTCTTGGAATGTTTGTGACTGGAAAGAAGATTGGTTGTCTACCCAGCTTGACAAGGAATGGGATCTCCAAGTAGCAATTGGACCCCTAACATCCATAAGATTGAGAAGTCCGCGAACTTAAACATGAATACCAATCCCCCTTTTACGAAAACACCAAATCAATCATTTGGCATGGTTAAACATGGGGTGAACCATTAAATGGACTTCGGTTCTCCTGTTGGTTTCCCTTACGAACCTAACAAAGGGCAACCTCAAAAGAAGACCCCCATTTGCGCAGGGCTGTTTTTTTTCCGACTACCCAACGGTAGACTGAATTAAACATAGCGTTTCTTTTTTTTGGGAAAAAGAAACACCTCCGGGTTTCAGCCTACCTTTGGGTCAAAAAATGGAACCCTGCGACTCAGTTCTGGGGCGCGCAAATCACAACAAATTACACGTGCCGGAGGCCGGGGCCTCGCTCCATGAGCAAACTCTGCACCACCAGGTTGGAGGAGGTGGAGAAAATGGCAAAGGCGCCCACTACCAGCCTGAAGGACGTCATTTTTTTTGAGGCTCCGTTTTTGGGTTTTTGGCCTTACGTGACGATTTTCTTTTTTTGAGGGAAACGTTTTGCTTCTGTCGGTTCTGAAGGAAAACGGCAAAGAGGACGAGCAATTTGGAGGGTCCCCTAAAAGCAGACAAACCCTTAGGCTAGAGAAGCCAAGTGTTGGATGACTCCCAAAGAAAAGTTACCTGGCAATTCTTAGCTCCTGCAGCTTCAAACGACTAGAAACCAATAGGTGTTTTGGTCATTGTATTGCTTTTGCCTGTTTCGTATCATTTTTACCGCAAAACGACTAAGACGCCTCGAAATTGGAATTATTGGGTGGCTCCTTCTTGCACAGGCTTTTCTCTCTCATTCAGCTTGATGTTGCCCACTAAACCTGATGTTCGAATCTTCGGAAACTTTTAAACTCGACAAACCTTCAAATCCTTCCCTCCATCAACACCCTTCAATCCTAGCTGTGCGGGGGAGTGGTGCGCAAATCGGAGCAAGTTTAGTATAAACATGCTTCGGGTGAGAAATGCTCTTTGTTCGTAATTACCACTTTTGGACGCAAAACGAGCGCAAAAACCCGCAAAACGCCCGCAAAAACCCGCGAACGAGCGCAAATCCCAACAAGTGGGTCAATTGGAGTTATTTGCATGCACTGCCCGCACAAAAGCATGCCCTGCTTGAACCGATGTAGGGTCATGCTTGCAACGGGAAATGCAAGCACCGAGAAAGGACACTATATTGATATGATGTCAGATCTTGTTGGCCGGCCAGCAGCACCTTAGACGCCGGCCTGCGTACTAGTTTTCCAGCGGTTCGTACTAGAACGCCCAGTTTTCCTCCAATCGTACCCATTACCCAAAACGCCCAGAAATTTATGGGTGCTTCAATCTCCAGGCTTGTGTATTTGGGATACTGATTTTAGCTTGTGCTTTCAGGATAATGAACTACAGTAACACTCGAAAAGTTGGCAGGAGAAGTTCCCGGGTGAAGTTTTCAAATGTTCCGAGAGACGTTTCTTCGCACGCATGCGGGGCTCAGGTAAAAATAAGGGCCAAAGCAACCCACCGGGTTCTCTGAAAAGGGGACTGCTGGGTTCTTTCACAGGTTTCTATTCGTAGGTCGAAGTCAAAACCAAATGTCCAGGGATCGTCCTGGCCGTGAGGAACCCTTCAGGAGTGGAGATCCACTTACAAAAATGTTCCTCCATTTGCTTTTTCGTCAAATTCACTGGTGATATTACCTTTCATTCCAACAAGGAAACATATAAACACATTCTGAAAAGCAAATGGACGTGTTTGATAGATCCCCTTCAAAACCAACAGGGGGGCAACAAAAAGCAAGTTCAGAACGCAAATCAAAGACTCCCGTGGGGTTGATTATTTCAGTTCGAGCGAGTCACCCATGGAGCAAACCCGAGACATGGCCGAACGGTGGATGGTTTTTTTCAGCCCGAAGATTCGGGCAAGAAAGATTCAGGTTCTCACGCCCCCCCCCCCAAATGTGGCAAGTAAGTGGTCCTTTTGGTTCGCCTTCAGTCAAAAAGCGGGAAATCAAGTCAGAGTCGTGGCCGAGACGCATGATGTAAGACATCGGCATGAGGAACAAGCGAGGGGGCATGTTGATCTCCTGGCGATGCCGAGCTGAAGCACAGTATGGGTGTGTCGGACGCCCCAAAATCTTGGTTGCTTTCTGCTCCCCTGCTAAAAGTTTAACTTTTAGTGGTTTAATGGAAAACCCATTAGTTGGCAACAAGTTAAACCAAGCAAAATGCACCAAAGACATGGTGGGTTGAATTTTGGTTTCCCTGCAAAACGACCCCAGAAAGGGTGCCCTTAAAAAAACGACACACACACACAAACCTATGCGGATGGGCAACATACTGCAGTTGGGATGAATGAAGCCAAATGGGGGTTGATGAAAAGGCCAAGTTTCTTGGGAAGAAGGCTAGGGAAAATCACAAAAAAAAAAACGACGATTCTCACTAAGTGAGACAAGTTACCGCCCAGAAAAATTGACCAACCTCCATATCAATACTGGATATATTGTAAAAACTACCAACTGGAGAAAACGGATTTTGTCCATCCGCAGTCTGGCCAACGCACAAGGTAGTATGTGTCACACTAGCGACCCACAAACTCCCAAACCAGAACTTTATGAGGAAGCCCCCTTAAGTAGCCCAAGGTCATGTCTGAAGCGGGAAATAATGCGCAGCCCGAGTGGGCATTCAATATTCCTCCCAGATGACCACACATAATTTTCCTAGTCCTCCATTTACTTAAGTTCACTAGTGACAGACTCCCTTTAAAACCAACATGGGGAAAAGCATATTCCGCAACTTAAATGGACGGTTCTGGGGAACCCTTTCAGATCGAACGAGTCACCCAGGGAAAACCCAGACAAATGGCCAAAAGGTGTATGTTGAAACCAGCCCAAAATTGCAGGAAGAAACCACTCAGCTTATCCCTGGTGACCCCAAAACTTTTTGATCAACCACCTTTTTGGATCAGCCACCTCAAGTTTTGGTATCCCCACAGCAGCAAGACACTCTGACACACGGGCAGGGCGTCTGAAAGCGATCTTCGAGAAAAAACAACCAACAACAACAAAACAAAAACAACTTCTTTGTGAATGTCTTTACTTGGAGCACCTTCGCTGAAACAAGATCAGCAAGTATGGCTAAATCGCACCTCCTTTGGCCTCCGTTTACAGGCAACCAGGGCCTGGTTGCTTGCAACCCTGTTGCTGACCATCATGGTGCAGTAAAGACACACTGGAAAGGGAGCCGCGGGATGCAGTTGGACTCGATTCAAACAATAACAGTTCTTTCTTACCCAATCATTGCCCCATTCAAACACACGTGTCAAAATGGGGGGACCCAAACAATGTGGTTATGCTGTTGGTTTCCCTTTGAACCAACCTCGAAAGGGTACCCGCAAACGACTGCCACACGAGATTTCTTAATGATCTCCAAGGAAAATCCATCACACCCAGCAATGAAAAATCATGCCTCGTCCAGGGCATTCTAAAAAGTGAAAGGCGAAGCACAAACTCTTGTGGAATGACATTTGACAAGTAGGTTGTCGAGTGGAAGTAGCTTCTACTGCATATAGAAAATATTCCCTTCATTGGATTCATCACAAATTTCTATCTTTGGGAAATTATACTTTTAGTCAAAGACAAAGGCGAGGCAAACTACATGCCTGTCGCCTGTCGCCCGTCGCCTGTCGCATCTTAGGAATTTTCGGAATCCTCCAAAATCTCTTATAGCCCCCCATTGGCCGCAAGTGGCGTGCAGTCTCATTTCTAGGGAAACAACCAAACCCCCCCAACAACCCAGAAAAGGTTTTTCAGACCGTCTTGATCGAAGGGGTTATGATTGAATTCTGGGGCCCTCCCTCACTAGCCGTTTTCAGAAAAAGCATGGCGCGCCTTTTTTAGGGGACCCTCCAAAATGGGTGTTTGCTTTTGGGTTTCCCCTTAAATCCAAACAAAAAAGGGTATACCCACAACAAAAGACAAACCCATTTGGCGGATGCCTTTCTCATTGCCTCTCTGGTTGGGAATAAACTAATTAATTGGTGATTTGGAAAGTCCGTGGTTCTTCTCGAAACAAACAAAAGTACCCGCAATCCAGAAAAGGGTGGGCAAAACCTGGGAGAAAAACCTTAAACGAGGACGACACAAAACAAGGTCAAAGGTCCCGGGCACACTGGAACAACTCCCACCCCACTGCGCCCCCTCCCCCGCAACCATTTTAGCGTATCCATCCCACACCCACAAACACAAACACCCAAAAAACAGAACAACAACACAGACAACAACATACAAACACACTAACAAACACGCACACAAAAGCACAAGCACGCCCACATACCCACGCACGCACGCGCGCGCGAAGACATCCTTCCCGCTCCACCCCTGTCACCGCACCGCATCGAAAACCCAAACCCCCACAACCCCCCGCCCCCCGACTCTCAGCTCGCCTTGCACCACTTCTCGATGACCGGGATCATAACCTAAGCGTCTGCGGCTCGCTTTGGCTCGAAATGGCTCAGACGGCATGCATTTCCAGAGATCATTGCACTTTCCACTGCACTATGTGACGTAAAACGGGAAAACTCATTGTACATGGCCATGACACTTCAATGTTTTGCATGTTCTCAAAAAGTTCAACGCGTAAGGCAATCATTCGGACTGGAACTGTTCCTGTGCTTGAAAGATAAGTTCCATTGGGCCACTGGATGCCGAGTCCGGGTTTCTTCAAGATGGGCTGGAAACGTGGTCTGAACCAGCGCCCACGCGGAAGATCATGGGACTGGTCATGATCAAACATGAACATGATGACAAAAAGGATACATCTGGTCAAAGGAGACGACGCATCCCCGAACCGAGCGAATGTCAAGGGCCATCCAGAGGCAACATAAGAACGTTTGTGCAGAACAGGGACGGCAAACAACGGCCTTACAACCTTTCTATCCAACAGGGCTCGCACAGCTTCGCCTACTTCGGCGGCAGGCAAGAGTCACAAGACTCCCTGACCCCTTGTTCCACAATAGAAACAGACCCCAAGAACTCCTCTTGATTGCCTTTGGTAGCCACTACAAAGGAGTTGATGGGCTCATCATAGGATCCCCGCCCCCAAACTCACCTGCTTTCCTCCAACTAAGTCTTGTTTGCGGAAACACGTCAGGCACCAGTTGGGACCCTATGAATACGGCAAGTACATGGATTGGGGCAGGCTCGCCTTCAAAGCAAGGCGACCCTGGTTCTGGAAAGAAAATTGGTTGTCTTCCGCTGAAATAGGGGGACCCTCTTTGTGCGGGTAGGTCTCAACTTGTCTTTTCCTATGGTGTCCGTCTGGATACTAACCGCAAGAACTAGCGAGACCTCACCCCGTTTTGGTGCAGTCTACTCCTTCACTTCAAACCTTCTAAAATAAGCAGGCTTCTTTCGGGACAACCCCAAATAGGTGGACAAATACATTCCTGGAGCAAAAGCAGAGCACGGACATTGAAAGGCTCCAAACGTTTCTCGAACTGCTCACTTCCTCGCGCAAAACTGAAGCCAAGCAACACCCATCACACAAGTGTTGGAAATGCTTGCCGCCAGCGGCATCGCGGGGAGGCTCAGTCTGATGAGCGCCGCGAAGTAAGTCTTTGGGCGGCCCAAAACGCCTGCGAGTCTGGCCCGGCTCCGGAAATTCCTTCCCCTCACGCCCCTCCCCTGCTTTGCACTTACTTTTCTGATCTTCCAGGTGCCCTTTAACAGTTGCAATGCGGTGATGATTCCCCAATTGTTTTCATCATCAAAATAAAATGTCAATGGTGGCAGTGAGTGAGGAAGTGTACCCACCAATTGTCAACCCATGGTTATTTCCAGACGCAACCGCTGTGTAATTGGACCATGCCTAAGGTCTTCATCGCGAGGGTCTGGACAGGAGCAAATAATTAACAAAAACGCCGACCACATCTTAGCTGGGCGAATTTCAAACTCGGATTCACAACCAAACATTTATTGAACTCCACAAAAGGAACTACTGTGGATGGACACATCCATTTCGCACCAGTTGGAAACCATGGTTGAAACCGCTGTTTGCTGGTATTAACTGGGGAATCATTCCAAAGTTTCTCAGGTGCAGGATTTCGTCCATCAGTATGGATGCCTTCTCTGGTGGTTCTCCTCTTTAGTTTTCCTGAGCCAACCAGTTCTCGGGAGTCCAAGCCCAACTTTGTGCTTGAAAACTCCACGAACTTCCCCCCTCCCCACGGCCCACGGAAAACCGTGGGCCGAAACCAATGGCATGGATAGATTCGATCACCCCGGCCCGGTCCAAAACCCTCCCAAAACCTGCCCACCAAAGAAACACAATGGGCCCCTTGTCGGAAACTCCCCTGTCCCACTCCAAAGCGATCCCAACACATGAGCACTCACCCCCCTTTCTTTGTCAGAACAGTGTCTTGTAGTAAACCCCTAAACAAAAATCGGAGGTCGGTTTCCTTTGGTTTCCCTCCACCCCGAAAAATTCGCGTAGCCCCCAAAAAACGTATGACACACCCTTCTAACACTCCCGGGTTCCCGGAAAGGCCATGGATCCAAGCCGCGCATAAAAATGAAATCGATGACCCCGGTGTGATGAACCCCCGCGGAGACGATGCCCAGCACCGCCACGGAGAGAACCACCGAGTTGCCTCGCTGCAAGGCGCCCCAGTCCTATCTGTGAATGGACAAAATCCATTTCGCACCAGTTGGAAACCATGGTTGAAACCGTAACGTTCGTTGGTATTTACAGGGGAATCATCCCTCCAGGGCCTCTTCGGTGGTGCAGGATTTCGTCCATCCACAGTATCCCCTGCCCTCCATTTGCTGTTTCGTTGGCAGAAATGGCTGCGGGTCAAACATGGGTACCCAAAATGGAACCCTGGCAAATGGAACCACGGACTCAAACTTGCGGTCGTCTGGTGGTTTAGTTTCGACTCATACCCAAATGAGAGCATACTGTGGGGCGAAATCCAGTTCGCATCACCTAAGAAGCCATGAAATCAGGATTCCCCATGCAAATACCAACAAACGTTACGGTTTCAACCATGGTTTCCAAGTGGTGCAGGATTTCGTCCATGCACAGTATGTCCAATGATAGATTCCCTTTTAAATAGTATATACGAGTATATAAGCAAATGGAAGTAGTGGATAACCAACATTTGGAGGTTCATCAATCTTCACTTCGGTCCCCAGTTTTGGACCACGGGTAAAACTTTTCCCATGTGGGGACAGATCCATCTTCTTGGTGGTTTTCACCCGGGCCCGTGGGTGTTTGGGGCCCGATGCAAAGGCCCTTGGGTAAACCACAAATCAGCTTCCCTCTTGGTGGTTTGGAGCCGAATCGGTGTGGTTGAGGTGGGAAACCCCATGCACCCTCCAGAACCAAGAGTCAAATCCAAATCCGGACCACGAATCCAATGAACTAATAGGATTGACTCCTGGGCTCTAAGCTAGGCCAACAAGTCGAACACCCAAGCGGTGTGGGTTTCTCACGCAGGGACATTTTAGATGCCATCAACAAAGCAAAGTAACCTGATGCTTATAGCAGGTAGCCCTTGGCCATGTTTCCTTATGCCTTTAAAGGGTGGTTCCCTTGGTTGCCTATGGAATCGCTGGATAAAATGAGGCCGACAAAAAAAAGGGGGAAAAGCCACGGCAACACAAAACACTTGCTCAGCATAGACCCGCATGATGAGGGTAACCGCTTGAGATTGTGGCAAATCCGCAACACAACGCTTCAAACTTCCAAACTGGTCAAACGTGCACCTAAGGTCGCTACTCATCCCCTTCCTGGAATTGCTGCACTTGCGGTCGGTTCATACGTTCAGGGGGCCTTGCCCTCATTGGCCTTTTTGATATATGATACTGACTGACATAACTATGGGTTGACATTTGCCAGTATAGTAGAGTATTGTATGTCTGGTGACCCGATGTTGTGGCTTGCCTGAGACCCACTGGGAGATGGGTACTGCAGTGCTATGGAAATTCCCTTGCCCATTAGGATCACCCTACAACATGGATGCCGCTTGATGCCACACCGCGTGAGTTTTCTCCCACGGAACCCGAACATCCGCATAATGGAGTCTCGTTGGGGATCGAGGGCACATTGGAGTCTGCTCTAGGTGGCAGCAGTTGCCTTTTCGTCTCGTGTCAGCGAAAGCGGCCCAAAAAAAAGGTTTTCCGCAATCATTCCAGACAGCTTAACGTACTGATTCAATAATTGGGTGTCTCTTTTGTATTTTACAGGGCAAGCCAAGGACAGCCAAGGACATCCACCATTTTGGGGTGTCCCCAATTTAAGACACACCCAAATGGAGACTAGGAATTCCCAACCTTCATGGATCAACAAACCCCATACCCTCCATCGATTCGTGAGCTCTTGAACTTTGCCCAGCATCCAGACTCGGTCCGGATCGACGGTGCTGCCCTAAGCCCAGTGGATCCCAGGCAAAGCTCCAGCAGGTACCCCTTTCAATCCATGTTTCTGTTGGGTTTTAAGGGGTGGTTCCCTTGAGAAAACCTACACAGGGACATGAAATGACTGGGAAAGGGTGATTCTTTGGCTCCAAACCAAATGAATCTCAGACCTTTTAAGGGACGCCCCATGCAGCCCAAGCGCTGAATCCGCCCCACGCGTCCCTGTCGTTCGGCAGCGCACCGGCAAGCCTGCAGCGATGTGTCTCACAACGCTTGGAATCGAATGGAAAACTAACAGAAAGCCAAAGGGAGGCTGGCTGGTGCGATAAGTAGGGAATGAGCCCAGGCTTTGGTCAACTTAAAAGTAACCACAAGGATGGTTTGTTCGAGTCATTCCATTTCTCGTTCCCTGCTGAGCACCAGCAAGGAGAGGGGATGCGCGGGGTAGCAGGTCATGAAATGGTAGCGCTAAACAATAACACCCCCCAGCTCCTTCTAATGGTGACTGGTTCTGGCAAAAACCAACCCAAATCCCTGCTACTCCCACATCCCATAACGAAAATGGTGGGAACAAAATGGTTTCCCGCATCCCGGTTCGTCCCCTACATGGCGCCAATTTGTGCTTCTGAGAATGGACCGTGTTGGGCTGTTGATCAACTTCACATACTGCTTGACCAACCCACTTAGTCACTTCTCAGGCCCCCGCGCGTTGTCATTCCCTACCTCACCCAGCAAGTACTAAAACATACTTGGGTGTGGCTCAAAAGTTAATTCGCCAGGGCGCAGGTTTTAGTCTTTGGTTTCATGTGCCAAGGTGCCATTTTGCTACACGTTCTGGAGCCGCAACCATTAGTCCCTTTTGGGTCTCAGGCGTAGGCCCAGGCGAGAGGAAGCTCTTAGCCAAGCAGCCGCAAGAACAAGGTGGCGCTGATGAGGACCACGTCCGCTTGATACTGCTTCAGAAGCAAGAAAAGGGATTCCAGCGTCACCTAGGTACACAGTGAACCAGGATTCCAGCACCTTGTTTCTTGGGCGCGGGGGGGGGGGGGTTGTAGGAGTACGTCATATTCTCCAATAAGGGAGTCTTTCAAGGACAAGCCTGGCCGGACATCATATTCTCCAATAAGGGAGTCTTTCAAAGACAAGCCTGACCGGCGCTTCAGCTTCCAGCAACGCTCAAAATCAAAGCTGTGATAGTCGACAAATGCGCTTGAAGCACTGTTGGACTGCATGACAACCCAAGTTGGAATCGGCAACGCAGACCCCGAGACTATATGCACAAAGGGGCACACTTTGTGCGAAACCTCCATCCACTAGGATACTCAACCAACTTAGTAAGTAGGTTATAGCATTTGCTGCAACTGGTGCAACTGGGGGGTCAGTCCCCATATAACCACGGTTTTAGCCTACCTGTTAAGCTTGTTGAGCAGCTAAGCACCAAAGAAAGGAGAAATACGGGCACCGGGAACTGGCAGAAGCTGAGGTCGGGACAAACATCGTGAAGTAGGAGTACCTGTTCCTCAGCTGGCAAAATAGAAGTTCCTTTGGTTTCCCTTACCCAGGAGTTTCAAATGCATTTTGACAACCTCCCCCATGCAAGTGCAAAAAACCTGCTTGACAAATGCCTGGAGACAAATAAAATGGGTGTGTTGGTTTTTAGGGGACCCCAAAAGTGTTGTTTCTGTTTTTGTTTTTTCTGTTTGTTTCCGTTTAAAACCACGAAAACAAGATGCCCTCAAGAAAAAGACAAACCCACATGGCAAATCCGGGTGATTGCGGGACACCTTAATCAAACAAGTTCACCCACCGCACGTACGGGGTTGACGTGGGACGCACTTACCAAATGAATGACTTGGGGTTGGTAGGCAAACCCCAGTAGAAACCCTTCGCCGTTTTCCTCTTGGTGGTTCCCTTGGTTGCCTACCGTACATGCAGGGACCTGGAATCACTGGGGTAGGTAAGCAAACATATTGCCGTCGTTTCCAAAATGTGGTAGCCAACCATGCTTGCTGTGCTCGTCAAAAGGTGAGTCCCTCGATTTGACAAACTACAACATGGACATGGAATCACTGGCGAGAATTTGCCCGTCTGGCTGTGCCAAAAATATGGCATCAGTGTTCCTGTTGGTTTCCCGCTACATCCGCCAAACAAGAGGCCCCAACTCCCAAAAACGACGACTCCCACATCGGAACCTCGGATTTCGCGTGCGTCAAAGCCGCAGCTGGGGCTTGGTTTCGGGGTTGATCTCGCTCAAGGCATAGCAGAAAAGAAGCAGCACCACCTCAGACGCCAGAATGGAGATCACAAGTCAGAAGAAAAAAACACTGACAGAAAAGAGGTAAATGACTTCTGTTTGCAGGAAACCCTGTTTGTGGGCGGTTTTAAGCCCATCTCCTGTATTCGTTCCTATAGTTGGTTCCTTAGACAAGGATGACGCAGGGCAAATTGCACAAGAACTGCTCGTTTCCCCCCACCGCGAATAGGTGAGATTTGTCCAGATTAATCAGGAACCACAAACACACGCAGTTTCTGACGTTGATGCCCCACTGGCAACATAACCAAAATCTATGGGCTCAGCAGTCATGAAGGGGGGCATCACCTGACCACGTGTTCCTCTTGTCCCCTTAAGCCAACCAAACAACAAGTGCACCACCTCCATACCAAAGGACGTGGAAAGCCTGGAAAAAAGGCTAATCTGTTGGAACCTTGTCGACCAAGGTCCAGAAAGGTCCAAAAAGAGAAGCCCAAAAGGTCAAAAGGACGGCTTTAGGCAACAGAACCTCCAACCCCTTGTTATTGGTGGTTTCAAAGGGAAGCCAAAAGTGAAAACCACCTTTGGGCAGGTTCCACCCGAAAGAACAACAAAAAAAACATTCAACTCCAAAAAGACGGACAACAACAAACAAACAAAAACAAAAACTTTGCCACCCCGTTCAACTCGACTCCAAGAAAAACAAAAAAAGAAGAAAGGGCGGGGCGGGATCGAGCCATTTCTTCGGGTTTTTTTTCCGCCCGTGGCGCGGAGGCCACGGTCTCGGAGCTCTTGAGGAAGCTCTTCAGCAGCAGCACCGGGCTGAGCTTCGGGGCGGCGGAGGGCTTCCGCACCACGTCGCTGGGGCTCTCGTCCCCTGGAGCTCGCTCGACCCGACCCGAGCAATTCATCGGACAGAGCCGGCAAGCGGGCGGCGGGGGGAAAAACAACAAAAAAGAAACGGGGTGGCCCAAGCCCCAAATCTTGGAACTCGGCGTGTCACCAAGGAGTTATAAGGGGACAACCACCCCCGTTACACCAGCTCTGACCATATGACGTCTGGTAGGCGAGGCAAGTAGGTTGTAACCCATGGGACGGTTTGCTACTATGGTCCAGACACAAACAGTGACGAAAGTCCGGGAACTCAGGGAGCGAGGTTTCTTAAACCCCGGATTGAGCAGAATGTCTGGTTGATTAACAGGGGTTCCCCAAACAGGGTGGTGTTCCTCTGGGATTCCCTTTAAAACCAGCAACAAATTTGGGTACCGAGCCTTAAGACACCGCACCCAAATGGGCTTCCCAAAAAGGGATTCCGGGAAATCAAGAAGTGAGGCATCTTCCATTGGGGAGTAGCTGAAGCTGGGTCTGGTTTGTTTTTGGATTCGATTATAGACAACATCTCCAGGGATTTCTCCAGAGGTTACCCAAATACCCACACAAACCAGGGGGGTTTGGCCAAGCTTCCTGGAGAATTTGCCGGAGACGCTGTTGTAGAGAATATGAGAATAGGATGCAATATGGGTTCTCACATGGCCATGGTTTGATACATCTGCAATCTACGGATCGCCCCTTGAAAGGGAAAGTCACCTACTGCCCAAGGTGATGTTCACCCCTGAAGAGAACAGGACGGGAGGGGAAGGGGGGAGGGACGTGGCGGATGAATCGACCTGGACCCAAACTAGATATTGCCTCCACATTATGCAGTGATTGCCCTCTGTTGACTCACTGGCTAAGTGGATGGCCCAAAAAAAGTCCAAACTTTTTCTGTACCACTAAAATGGTCCTCCCAAAAAGCTTAAAGTTCATGAACTCAGGAAGTGAGTTGAGGGCAGCTTCAGGGTTCGGGGAGTCTGTTTGCAACCACCTTCTCCGGCATATTTAAATGTTGGGCTTCGGCATGACAAGCTTGGAAGTAGGGCACTGGCATGGGAGGTGGTACTCAGAACCTCGATGACTACTGCAAACTAACACATGGGACAAAAAAAGCAGAAGAATAAAACACGAACACGAGGCACCCTTGACTTTTGCTCGGAGAAAGGCTAAATTTATGATTTGTTTTCTTTTTCTCGGGTCTCCGTTTTAGGACGGCGGAGTGCCTTGAGGTTTGCGCACCTATGAAACGATTGCCTTGGGTCGTTTGATTTCGCATGCCAAAACACTTAAACAGTCAAGGGGAGCCCATAGTTTCGCCCAAACCGACGCCTTTAAATTTTTGGTGTCATTCGCCCAAACGGGGCACGAGCGCAAAATTGTGCAACAAGAAGGAGCCAACAGGTGATATTTAAACCCGGTCCCTTCGGCCTTCTGGCCTCCCGGAAACCAGCGACCAGCTTTTAAAAAAAAGAAGACAAGACGCAACTGGGTTTGGGGCAATTAGGGCATTCAAACGCCACCCGAAGTGCATTAAGTTGATGTTTGGGGCAATTCGACCGCCCTCAGGGATATTTCCTGCGTCAAACAGTCCCTGCCAAACATCTCCGCGACTTGTTTAAAAACCACAAAAGAACAACTGCAAATAGTCTGCAATTCCCGGCAAACAAATCCCTGCAAACCAAAAACAACTTTGTTCCCTGCGAACACTATCCTCCCAAACACATTCTGGGCCAGACTTGGACCCCCTGTAAACAAAAATGCAAAACTGCTAGACAGGAGACAAAAAAAAACCTCGGGGCGCCCTCAGATGCCCCGCTAAAAGTTCAACTTTTAGTGGGTCAAATGGAAACTGCCACTGGACACTAAAAAGCCAAAAGGCTAAGGAACCGGATGGCTGGGAGCCACCAAGAAAAGGCAAAGAGTCTCAAGTCTCAAGGTCCGAGGCGTTTCAAGGGACCGAACTCACAGCTCCGGCACGGCCTTCCCGCTGGTGCCGGTCCAGGATCGGCTGCAGCAGTCGGGAATGCTTCCGCTCCCTTGGGAGCGGCGGGAAGAAACAAAACACCTTGACGTTGCTTTTTGCACCAAATTCAGCATGGTTCAAAGGGAAACCAGGGTAAAACCCGCCATATATTTGTTTTTTGGGGGGGACCTCCCAAAAAGAAGATTGATACGCCACGGGCTGTTTTTGGTTTTGTTTTATGCCAGTAGTTTATGTTCAGTTTCAAGGTTCTGAGTGCCCCCATCTCTAAAACAAATGGGCCCCTATCCCTAAGTGAGAATGTACTTTGACCCCCTTCTGAGCCCTTCAAGTACATCCTCAGGTTCTTGGATCCCATTCCGTGTCCGAGTAAGGATGTTTGCCCCACCTCAATGTACATCAACTCAACTGGGGCCAGCAGCTTGGGTTTTTGCTTGTACCAGTAGCTAGGGTGATTCTTTCCACTTCCCCTGCCCATTGACCTTGCATACAAAAGGGAAGCGGTGCTACCACTGAAAGGCAATGACTAAAGCAAGGTTCCCTGGTAGAAATGGGACCTCCCCCGGGGGCCGCTGCTGGGGACCGGGGAAGAATATTCTTGTTTCACTTTCTGAGTTTGATTAGTTTAAACAGAAAACAACTTTGTCGTTGGCCCTAGAACAATGCGAGAACACATTGAACGGTTGGCTTTGACTGTGTCTCTGTGACCCCCTGAAATACTTCAACTTTGTCTTCACCTTTGCTGTGGAGGCACCAAAAGGTTGACATGCGTGTTTCTTGAAATGCAACTGAATTCGGGGATGGTTGCCGCACATTTGCCAGCGTTTCTTCGTTCTCAACTTCTTTCAAACTCATGCAGTTAGTTTCAAACTCGCAAAACTAACAGCGGGAAACTGAGGAAACGCTGCGTGAGGTAACCACAAGACACCTACATCCAAGCAAATCCCTTGCGGGGGGGTGGGGAGGTGGTGTTGGGGGGGGGTGCTGGTGGGTGGTGCTGTGAATGCCCCGTTTCCCTTTTCCTTCCAACCTGAAACTCAAAAAGGGCACCTTGAAAACAAGACCCTACCCTCAAAGTGACGGTCTTCCAAGACTCCCCAGACGGATTCCATCTGGGATGGTGAATGGAAATCCCGGTGATTCCATGCCCCTGTATGGGTAACCAAGAAAAACCCACGCGACATGGAAAAACCAAAAGGAACATGGATCGAAGATGATGGAAGGGTTACCCAGAGAGGTGTGCCTGGAACCCTCCCTGGAAGCTACCCCAGCCCAGAGCCTGTCTGGGCAGGACCAAATCCACAGCTTTCAGCTGAACCAAAACGAGGGCACCCGAAAAATCCTTCAACAAAAACGAGGCACGGCGCCCAGTTCGCCAAGCGTCCGCCTTCGGCCGAGCGGCCCCCCGGGCGTTTCACCCAAGGCTGGCTGCAGTGGCAGCTCACCTTCTTGCTCCTTCTCTGTGTCGAGAGGCGCAAGAGAAGGGGGAGGCGTCATACCCCCCCACTCCAAATACCGTCTCTTTTTACTGTATTTTGGGGAAGCCTGTTTTTTTCAGGGCAAATACTATTTACCTCCCTTTTTAGTGGAGTGCCGACTTCAACAGCGGGTATTGGGTGTAGGGGGTAGAACTCACCCCTTCCCCTAACCCCTTTCACGGGAAACTGGGAAGGGCTCACATCACTCTTTGAAAGAAGGCAGGAAAACTCCGCCACTGGCTGTTTTAATTTGACCAAACGAACAAATGTGCCCATCTGGGGGTCTCTATGGTGAGGGTACCTTTTTCTGCTGGTTTAAAGGGAAACCAAGCCCACAGTTTTCTCTCTTTTTTTGGGAGGGGAGGTATTCTAAAAAAAAAAAAAACACATCTGTTTTCAACCGAACTGACCCATGCGTTTTTGTTTTTTCCCGGGCATTGGCTCCTCCAGAATTCGCAGAAGCTCAGCGCAGCGGTGATCCCCTTGGGAGAGCAGTGAGTGGTTCAGAGTCTCCATGATGTCCGCCTCGCGGAAATCGAATCGGCTCTCGCCATTGGTGACGCTCAGGATCCCATCAGCACACTAATCTTGGTGGACTGCTTGATGTTAACGTCAGATGCATAAACCAACGGTTGATTGACAGATAGGCTCAGGTATTGACTGGCCCCAAAGTAGATCGGCCACTAAAATGGTCTTCCCAAACAGTTTGAAGTCCAGGAACTCGGGGAGTGGGTAGGGGGGTGTGTCCCCTTTTAGTGGGTGTTTATCGCTTTTGGAGGGAGCACCCCAAAAAATAAAATCCCAATCCATGCGTTCCGCCCCATGGGGGGTAATGGCAGAGTAGTTGAAAATACCTTGTCCGCTCACATGGAACATGGAACCCGTCAGGTTTCATGGCAACATGGACAGGAGGGTAGTACTGTGGATGGGCGAAATCCTGCACCACCTAAGAGGCCCTGGAAGGATGATTCCCCTGTAAATACCAACGAACGCTACGGTTTCAACAATGGTATCCAAGTGGTGCGAAATGGATTTCGCAACCATCCACAGTATGTCTAGAGATAGATTCCCTTTAAATCATAGCAAGCAAATTCAAGCAGTGGATAACCAACATTTGGGGGTTGACCAACTTGAAGGATTTTGTTCATCCACAGCATCAACCAGACACCCTTCGCTTCTCCGTCTCCTGCATGGTCTTGGACTTGCCGCAGCGCTTGTCGTACCTGTCAAGACGCGAGGCTGTTTCCATGGAGCCCGCTCACGGCAGGTACCCCAAGCCCCAGGTCAGAGAGAACCACCTTGTCAGGTCCTCAGGTGCTTAGTTCCTGATGAGGTTCTTAAGCCCTTATTGTTCTTATCCTCAGCACCATCATCGCTGAGCACAGAAGCATGCTCCAGAGCCCGCATAAATAGCTAAAAAGCAGATCTACGCATTTCAGGAAGCTCAGCTTCTTCCGATGTTGGATCGCAAGAAAAGCAACCGGATCGATCCAATTCTTCGAGGTTTCGCTGTTTAGGACACATGCAGTTTTGTCCTAAGGCTCCGCACTCGAAAGGAACATTTCTCCAAAAACGGAGAATAGCATCTGAAACGTACTCTCGTGGATATCAACACATGAGTCAGAATCCA